TTGGTACGCTCTTTTCTTCATGGACCCTAAGTTTTTTTTATTTTTTATTCCTTTATTTTACAAAATAATATAATACAAAAAGTCGAATTGGTTCGGAAATACTTCAGTGGGTAGCTGGTTCCACAAAGTGGTGGTATAGTTTTTCTAGTTAAGGAATTATACTTTTGTGCCTATTACCACACAAAATTTACTTTTTAACTAAAATCTTAATAAAAATATTGTATGATCATAAGTTTTCGTCTAACCACAGCGCATAACCGTTACTTCGCCAAGTTTTATGTTTACTGTTATCTCTTTGAAACACTTGATGACCTAGTCTGCAACTAATTAGTACGTTTTATAAGGACGGTAATTCAAAGAATTTCTTCGGTAACTGGATATGTAATATCAGTATAATGTAGACATAATATACACAGTATATAACTGTTTTTACGAGTACGAGTTTAATAGAAAATAGTTTACCCGACTAAGAAAAGTTTAGTTTTGCCAATTTGTTTTCTGTCTAGAGACAAATATTGTTATAATTAAGGTTTTGTTTATGTTAAGATGCTAAATTAAATAATGGCCTGTCGTTTGCACAGTTAAATGCATTTATTTAAATGATTTGGAAACAAAGATATGTCAGAGAATGTAATGATCGAGTCAATTGACCGTTGATTTTTATTGTTACTTTGGTTAATTATTGAGATTCTTTCTATTACTTTTAAGAATCATAATTTGATTTGATTTGTTTTGATACTATTTAATTGTTTCATAGTTGGGAAAAGTTACTTAACGAATAAAAGTACGGATATTGTAACGTCCAATCAGAGCAGAGCAAATGCCTCGAGTGTGTGCATTACTATTTTTCTATGTGCGCATTTAACATTTGATCGAACGGTGATAAACAACATCGTGAGGAAACCGACATGTCTTAGTCCCAAAAAGTCGACGGCGTGTGTCAGGCCTGGAGGCTGATCACCTTCATGCCTATTATATTTAAAAATTATCATGAAACAGATTCAGAAATCTGAGGCCAAGACCTAAAGAGGTTGTAGAGCCACTGGTTTATTTTTTTAAAAATAGATAGACATTGAGATAAGATAAAAACCAAACGTTTTAAATTTGCTTTAATTTTCTTTTTATTAATTTTTATTATTACTATGTATGTTGATTGTATAGAGAATATATTAATATAGGGTTTTCGTTGTTATGCTTCATATATATTTAAATACATATAACAATTATTAGGTTTCATTCTAATGATGAGATGACAGCGAATAAATTATTTCGCAACAGATTCATAAATGATTAAAGTTCTTTTCAAAATCTAAATGTTCACTAATAAAACGCTTCCACGTTTATTTTTCAATTGCTCTTTCTACCAAAATAGAATGGAAAATTCTCAATTAATTTTTTGTATTTGTTTTGATGTAAGGATCTCGGAGATGGAGGCTTGATTAATCCGGGATATTTCCACGGACTATTATAACATTCAGAAAGGAAAACACAATAACCATTACTCCTTGAAAATGAGATTTTTAAGCCGCGTTATAAGGATTTAGCTCTTGTTTGCCTTTGTTAGTTCTTATTCATATTTTTCACATCTACTTTTTAAGTGTGGTATTTTAGAATTAATTTATTTTGAAATTTATAACATTTTTTTTTTAATTCATGGCAATGTCAAGTAGTTTTTTTTATATACACAAAGACCGTGGGCGAATCGTGAGCTCTGGGCTATTACAGGAAGGTCCACCATAATAGACGCACACGTGAAAAATACACCGACCGAAAACAAGCGACGGGGAATTCCCCGTTCTGTTGGATAGACGCACATCGCACATGAGTTGATTGATCTCAGGTATTCCAACATTATGATAGGATTTTAAAAAAATTTTATCCCTGGGGCTTCATCTTAAAAAGCCCTTAAGTAGATCCGCCCCAGACAAAGACAATATAGAACCATAGGTAAAAAGCAAGCATCGTGCCAGCTGTAATCAGCGACTAATAGTTATATATCAGGTACGGATGTCTAAATCTCCAATATATATATAAGATAATTCATAATAATTTTTAAAAATTAACATCCAATGTCGTAATTTTGGCTGTACTGATGGAGATCACGAAACTTGATCGACAGCGAGTGTGTACAGTATCATGCTATCATATCGTCTTGCTACGTTAACACGACGTTTATGTTGTAGTCAAACTGATATAACAACAGAGTACATACCAACCTCTTGAAGAGAGTACAGCCTCTATTTCAGGTAATTGCATATCTCAACGTGAATAATTCAGAGCCGAAGTTGGGGAAAACGTTATTTTGAAAAGCTTTTTCTTATTCAAAGAATTATTGTATTCAATCAAAATATCAGTGATATTACCATTACCATATTATACTCGACCATAACATATAATATAAGTACATTTATATTACCACAGTCAAATAACAAATACTTATGTACCTGTCAGGAATATTTATAAGAAACTGAAAAAATATTACATCGAAGTGCTATAAGATTAAAATTAAAAAGATATCTTTATTATACAGTGTATTAAAATTTCATAGCATCCAAACCCTCCTCAACAAATAGCCGCATTCTGAACCGAGTACTTTGCTCGTAAATTTATAATCTTTTTCGAAGTCTACAGTCGGGTATTCGTGTTTAAAACAACAGGTTTTTGCGATACCTTAGGCGTGTTATACACTTTTTTAAACCATAATTTAATATTGTTCTGTAGTTAAAAGATAAGTATAATATACCAATAATTTGAAAGACAAACATTAAATATATTTCAAGAACATACGAATTGAGGTTTTAAATGTATATCTAAGACAATAATTAAAAAAAACGGACCGTTTAAAATTCACAAGTGAAACTTCTAGTGAAGTGTAACTTGTAATAATAATTAAATAACAGTATTTCATATTTCGATTGATGGGCCTTGTACACAATACTAATTAGTATATAGTAGTAGTAGTAGTTCACATGTCCAACGCAGGCGCTGATCAGAATACAACTATACTCAACGATTCACTACTGACAAATTGACACATAGACAATTTACAACCTGTAATATGTCTATTATATTGCGTGGTGTTGCCATTCTAAAAAAACAAATGGCATAGTGTTATCTTATTACATAACCTTAATTTATTTATGCACGGAGTAAAAATGTTATTCAAATTTTTGGAAGATAATCAACAGTTTGTCTCCTCAACCATTGATCATTAAATAAAATTACACGTCTCTTACTTCGGTTAATTTAAAGTCAGTTAAAAATCACTTCACTGCAACTACTTGGTCTATAAACCGATCTAATTTTGTTACTTCTAACAATTTTCTCTACACCAATCCATCACTGTCGTTATCAAAGGATTCGATTTCCGATAATTTGTGAAATACCTACAATCTGAATCAGAGATGCCAGTAACACACTTAATATTTTTTAATATTAGATTAACAAAAGGAAGACTTTATCAAGAATATACGAAAAATTCAGTAGGTTTGTTTAAATATAGCTGAATATGTACGTTTAAAGATATTTTAGTCTTCTAACGGAACGTATCTAGTATTTCTGGTTTAACAAAGCTCAGCACAATAGATAGGCCAATAACCTGGCCACAAATCTATGTCCTATTTATCACGGCACAAATGTGTCTTGAAGCACTGAATCACGTGTATGTGCAAATGTTTCTTGTATAAACTTAGTCATACAAGAAACATTTGTCCATACAAGAAACTTACAAGTTTACTAATAACACATAATTAGCATCCATTAATAGAAAAAACTTTTTAACCGGATTAAAGTTATGTAATATTATAAATTTATAATTATTTAGTTTTTTCTTTAAATGTGTAAAGGTTATGTCAATCAAAGACAATACTATCTTTTAATAGCCTCACTCTATCTGGTTTGAGGTTTAAATTATAAATACGCAATTTTGAATCAGATTTTATATGTGACAAATTTACTTAGTGAAGCACCATTTACGCGTGTCTTTCGCATCCTGAATACTTTTGCATGTGAGACTAATATTGTTGCACTCTGGCTGAATTCACAAGGGTTGCATTATTCATAATAAATTATTAAAAGGTTAAGATTTTATGTTTTCTTGTTTAGTTTATATGTAATATTATGTTCTTAGTTTAAATTTTGTAGTAAGTGTTATATAGTATTAAGTTACTGTAAGAATAGAAAAAAGGAAAATAAATTATAAGAATCTACTATGTGTAACTGTATACTATACTATATTAAATCGTGTATAGCATGCCTAACCGAGATATAAGAGTAATAAAACGAGATGGACCAAGTTTTGGTAACGAATTGTCATAAAAAATTTCTCAGCTACCATTATATACCTACATTGATAACTCGTAAAATTCTATCACATTTTAGCATTGTAAAGTACTAAGATTTTTGAAGGAAGAATTCTCTACGTGTATGAAGAGTTAAAATTGACATACCGTATATTGGTATGGCATGCCAAATACTGTGCAATCAACCGACATCCCGTGCACAAACAAGACGTGGTGATTCGGGCGCGGTTCCGAATGCTGGGAAATTTTCATACAATTCCATTCGTCACCTCATACTGGTGAATAGTCCTTGATTGTTCAAGCAAATACTATGTATGCGATTATGTTGGAGTCAGTTTTATACCAAGGATCTTGGTGATCTTAATATAAAGAATATCTATATATAACTTTAGAAGATTTGTTTCAGATTAAAAAAAAATCCCCTTGAGCTATGTAACAAAGCCTATATAGAACGAGGGGCAAACGGGTTTTCTAATGTTAAGTGATACCGCCGCCTATAGACACTCTCAATGCCAAGGGCTAGAGCGTGCGTTGCCGGCCTTTTAAGAATTGTAACAGATGTATTTTTTCTTGAAGGACCCTAAATCGAGTTGGTTCGGAAAAATTCAGTGGGCAGTTGGCTCCACATATTGGCCGCGCCGCAAAAACTGCCTAAAGTTAGTATTCTGCCTAGAAGGCCGATGCTAAACTCAGCTGCAGTTATAAATCCATACAACTCCTCTGCAATGCCATGCCATTCCATGCCATGCTGCTGCCATGATAAATCTGGTAGAACATGCAGAGAGACCGCAAGTCTCTACGCAACGCCAAGGGATCAAACCGCTCGGAAAGGTTTTCGTTGTCGACGGTTCGAATCGTCCTACGTTGAATACAGTCATGTGGAAAGAGCTGGTACCGGGAGCCGCCTAGAGGTTATATTCCGAAACATTTAAAAGAATTGGCTACATTTTGCCTAATGCAACAATTAGTATTTATTAATATGTAGCGACTACTACAATCTACGGATACTATCACTGCGATGACGTCATTAACCCAGAAGCGTGCTAACAAAATTATTCCGACCAATAAGGATATGTAATACTGGGCCCTTCACGCCTGTCAGTTATTGGAGTGGTACAAAAAAAATTACACATCATTTATATAACAAAAAATTGCAAACAGACAATTTCAAATGAATTGAACAATGAACATCTCAATTGAACCCACTTCCTTGTAAAAAGTTTAAATAAACGTTGATTTGTGTCTATATATTAAAAATGTATTTCAAAAACATATAAGCTATATTCACAAGCATCAAACGTCTCTAACATACTGTCGAGTTGAAGTAAGGAACATTAAATTTTAACATCAAGATGCAACGTGGCTTCGAGAAATATTTTAAGGCCACAGAGAGGACGTGACTCCATCGCCCTTGCCGCTACTTCACTCTATATTTTATCAAATATTTAATGCACTTCAGAATAGTATTAAGACTTATTTTTGTTACAGTCTAATGCATTATTTTCCAATGTGGGGCCTTACAGGGGGCAGTTCGAAAAGGATTCGACATTTTTTTAGTTATATTTAAGTTCATTCGTCGTATCATTGACATGACAAGACACCAATTATAAGGATATTGATATTTTCCACCTCACCAAAGAAGATGTGAGAAAGTATTTGAAGAGGCGGGAAGACTCTGATTTTGTATAAGCAGTAATTTGAAATATTCAGTATTATTTGTTGTTTTAAATGTTAAATTTAAGTTTTTTTTTATAAAGTTTTGTCTATTAATGTACTTATTAGTTTTCTGTTTCGTATATATTGTTTATCTATGTAATCTGTTTTCGCTTTCTGTATTGTCTAAGTGTTTTGTTATATAATATGTATGTTATCTGTAAGGTTACTTATAATTAAATAAATAAAATAAAATAAATCATTTCAGTTTCTTAAGTGAACAATTTAATTTTTTATATTAAAAATTATGCGTGTTACATACGGGGGCATAAGAATTTTAGCAAGGCTAAGGTGGGTTATGTATCTCTTTACTGATCATTTGTCTAATAGGCAAGAAGGTGATCAGCCTCCTGTGCCTGACACATGCCGTCGACTTTTTGGTCTCAGGTAAGCCGGTTTCCTCACGAAGTTTTCCTTCACCGTTCGAGTGAATGTTAATCGCGCACATAGACAAAAAGTCCATTGGTGTACAGCCGGGATCGAACCCACGACCTCAGGGGATGAGAGTCGCAAGCTGAAGCTACTAGGCCAACACTGCAATAATAATTTTATTCTATAATCTTTTTTATTAAGATCAACAAAGAACGTATATTAAATGTTTGACCGGAAATAAAAATCGCATTTATAATTCCTTCCGTTCCGGAAATCAATACAGGATCAAGATCGTTAATATTTCCCGCGACGGAACAATTTTTCACTGTCAGATGATATGAGCGGGCGCCATTTTGAAATAATCATGGACACAAAGACTTCCGAAAATTAGTCTTTTGAAGAAAAAAGGGGTTTGCTCTTCCCTAATGAGGGTCAGCTTTCAAAAGATTCGGATTTGTAATATGAGGACGGTTGAAGGTTTCGAGCTTAGTTATGGGTTTCTTAAAGATTTTCTATAAGAGATTTCTTTCTAAGCTATACTTCGGATACTATACATAATCTACAATGTAGTGTTTTTTAAAATGAATGAGTTAGATTAGTTTTAAGATTTTGGGACTGTAAAATGAGTATTTTTAATTGAAAATAATGTTTCATTTAATAATGTTTTATAAATCCTTTTGTTTGTAAATATAACTATTAGCGTTAGGAAGGCTATTATTTATCAGGAATACATATATAAAATGTGTATTCATGTAAGAGGTCAAAATTAAAGGTTGTCATTGAAAACTTTATCAAAGATTTTAGATGTGTTAAAATACTTTAAACATTTGACAACTAATATATGCAGTATGTGTTTCTCTGTATATACAAAAATCTCATATTCGAAGAAATAAGAAAAATACTCGAATCATAACCGAAACTCTTATTACTTGATATAATTGGCGGCTTTTTGCTTAACTTTGCCACTTCACCTCTGTAAAGTGACATAAACACTGATAAAATCTCAGTAACTTCTACGAAAATATAAAATTAATCTAAAAAGATGTCGTGTAAGTCGTAACAGGGCGTGTGCAACGAGAGACGTGAGGATTGAAGAAAATTGCTCAATGTCCCCCGGGGCGGCGATTCAAGGTAATGGTGACGTGGCGTTGAATGTAAAAACTGAAATTAGGCCTAGGCTCTAGAGAATTGTAGACTATTTTAAATTCGATGTTGTGTATTTTGTTATTACAAAACGGTACAACTATAAACGGTTAATATAAAAATATATATGTTTGTATAGTAGTATAGTAGTAATATATACATATACTAATATATATTTGTACATCAGTTATAGGGCCTAGATTTATGAATATGAGTTGCAGCTCCTTACAAACGTCGTGTAAAACAAAAAACTCGGCGGATAAAAAGAGTGACGGAGAGATTATTGCCAGTCCTTCTCTTCCGTTCTACGCCCTTGGTTTGAGAACTGGCAGTAAATGTAAAATTAGAAGCATTTAATGTATATTTCTTTTTTGACGTTCATAAGTGTACATTGCGTTACCTACATGAATATATGATTTTTGACTTTTGACTTTAGAATCTGTTTCATGATCATTTGTTAATCTACTAGGCAAGTAGGGAATCTCTTGTGCCTGACACACGCCGTCGACTTTGTGGGTCTAAGCCAAGCCGGTTTTCTCCCGATGTTTGCGCTCATAGAAAGAAAGTCCATTGTTGCACAGCCGGGGATCGAATCTACGACCTCAGGGATGAGAGTCGGACGCTGAAGCCACTCGGCCAACACCGCTCATTATCTTATTAATATATACAAAATGTTTAACGCTTACAAAGGCAAAAATATATTGTTGACAGCTCTTAAAGTTTGTAAAGAAAGTAAACAAAAGGCTGAAAGTAAAATGAATATAATTTAGGTTTAAAGACATTTATTTATTCTCATAAGACAATAGTCACTTACATGAGAACTTATATACTAAAGATACAATTTATCACGTTGTGCTTAAGCTAAGGATCAATTATCGAAGTATAATTATATAGGTAGTATAATTTACCTTTTTTAACGTCTAATTTAACCCGTTGTCATTCGAAACAGGAAAGTTTTACCAACCAAAATGGGTAACTATAAAATATTAATCAAACTTTAAATTTAAATAATTTACACATATATTTAAATCAGGGACAGTATTAGCATTCGACAAAAAAGGGCCGTAAAAGGCTCCGTCACGACCTAACGGATCCGGATGATCCAATCACCGTAGCCAATGACAAATTAAAAGCTGCTGGTGCGAGATATGTAGCCTAACATTAGTAAAGTTACATATATGTATTTTAGTTAATATTGAGAAGCGCAACCAAATGTTAGAAATTATCGCACAATTGAAGCCAAAACTCATAAATTTTAATATAACATTCTTGTTTCCGATGTCCAAAAGGTCTACTACACTTATATTGAAGTGTCACTTAGATTTAAGAACCCTTAATAAGTCAAGTTAGTTTTTTGTTAGCGTCGCCAACCCTAATTTTATGTTAGTTATAAGCTCATGTATTAAACGATTAAAATCAGTTGACACCCAGCTTCAAACAAAGTGTTCTTCAACATATATTTGAACATCCCTACAACACTCGTCACCGAAATTAACAAGCGGCAAAGCAAAATTAATATCAGATTAGGCTAATAAACCGCCTTCACTGGGGAAGCCGTGGACAATTGCTTCGTACTTACTCCAGTGAGCTTCTGTCCTGCCCTTCAGGCGATTGACCACCCGCGGCGGCCCAAGCCGAAGTCCGAGTCTCGCAGGACACTCTCTTACGCTAGTCGCGGGAAAAGCCCATTCCAGCTGTATTTCCAGCTACGCTCGACAAAACAGGTGAGCTGTGAACTGTGAAGGAAGGCCCCTCAGGCAAACAGTGCGATTCCATTCCTAAAAAAAGTACTAGCGTACTTAAGCGTGGGATCGCAAACCCTAAGGGTGTGTGCTATCTAAATTGCAACACTTGATTCTCAAGATTCACTCGATTGATTGGCTTCGATTATTTGATGACGTGTGTCAGCCGTTTCTTTCAACACGTACTTACCTTAAATAAATTAACTAACAAAAACAAACCATAAAAAAATGTTAAAAATTTATCCTTTTCCTTTCAAATGTTAGCTGCATTAGACTCTAGAAAAATACTCTAGATCAATATTTACGTATGTGGCCGGGATTCTTTTTACATGCTTTTGAGGACCTTTTTTGTATAATTAATTGATAAATGATTGCAGTCTTCATGACTTCATGCCTTGACAAAATTACTATTAAAACCTGTATACTGGTTTAGTTTGATTTAAAAATTTTATCCGCTGTGAACACGTTTTCGCACATGTTACTAGTCACATGTGCGATTGTTCTGTATGTAACTGCATCGAATTTTAAACAAAACTACCGGAGTTTGTTCATAGTTCATATTTCTATGTACGAACCCAATTGCATAACAAAATATTTACTTGCTTTTCGCAATTTATTTCTTTCCGTCTTATTCTGAGTTCTAAGCTAAAATTATAAATCAGTAGCAGACTTTATATTTTATACCATGGTTCTTCATAATACCCAATTCTCTACTGAGACTATTGGTCTAAGATCCCGATATACAACGACCTTCACCGAGATGCTTATTTAATGAAACGTATTTTATATTTAATTTAATATATCAATAAATATAATCCATATGGGTTGCCTAGCAAATTTTAGTCCAGAGTATTTTAATTAATATTTAAAAAAAAATATTTGTTTAAACATTTCACCGGTATGATTATTAGATAAATTCTATCCAATCGAAAGTATGAAGCCCATAGAATATGCGAACGTTTGGTTGTTTTTAATCAATTAATTATTTATGTGTATATTTTTATGTGACACTAAAGTATATATACATCTTTAGTAAAAAAGAAAGTTATAGTGATACATATATAATACTACCCTGATTAAAAATATTGATTGAAAAAAATTTGCTACATGCAAATTATATTATTTTTTTTTTAATATTAATTAAACATACTCTGGACTGAAATTTGCTAGGCAACCCTTATGGATTATATTTATTGACATATTAAATTAAACATAAAATACGTTTCATTAAATAAACATCTCGGTGAAGGTCGTTGTATATCGGGATCTTATACTATATCGTAAATCACAAGTTTCTATTCTGTCAACGTGTAGGCTGTCACCGATATATTTGGAAAACATATGTTTTACGATCCTGTACCATTTCCCGCCAGTTTCACGAGGCCTACTAAAACCCAGGGGAGGAAACTCACTCTTTCTCTTTCCTCACTTGGCTTTCTTCTAGCGGCCTAATATTATATAATCATCATCATTGTCAAAGGCCAGTAGTGCTAATAGAAGTTTCTAGTTTCATAAGACACATTTCAGGTCCCAGAGCCAGCGAAGTGAGTGAGTAATATTTACACGCTTTTAATCTGGTTTGGATTTCCGGTCAGCTTCTAGCCAAAGCGATACCCACAATGCTAGCATATTCAAAGTAAGAGTACACATCATGACCTTTCGGAAAAAAAATTATAAAGAGTATTATTTTCATAGAAAGCAAAGGGCACGAACCAAAGATCGCATGCATTAACATCCAGGGCTAGAAGATAAAAGAAGAGCAGTATTAACGACGATTATCTATTCTGTTTTGTGAGTTGAAACCAGCAGTATATCAACATATATTTATTATAAACGATTTCATCTGCGCTATTATTACTGTGTAAATAGAGTGAAATATAAAAGGCAATGGTTGTAATCAAGTCCTGCGAATTAAATCATCAACTCTCGAGGCGTTTATTTAGCTAAAAATTATAACTGCCGACCAAACGATCGGCTCAAATTCGTTACCTTAGCATTACTAAATTAAAATACGCTGAGCGGAAAGACCCGGTCTAATAAATAAGAGATCTCCAGCAATTTGCGAACTCTGAAATCCTTTGCTTAATTATATTTCCTTGAGACGTCTGTGAACGTTGATTTAATTACCGCTAAGTATTTTTTTATAGCCGGCTAAGGATTTTTGTCTAGTCCTTTTTGACTCAAGTTTCTATTGCAGGGGTAATTTAAATACGGATTTTAAATTAACGTTACTGCTCTGCTAGTTTGCTTTTAGATCCGATCCACAATGACGATTTTTTCTTTACTTGGAAGATTTGCGTAATCACCTTGCCATAAAAGCTATCTATACAAATAAATTGCTGATTTGTCTATCTCTGTCAAATTTTATTTATTCAAAAATATAATAATGTATTTTATACATAAAAATAAAAAGCATTTAAAACATACATTTAAATTTTAAGAGATACTTTACAAAAATAAACTTCACTTAATTTCATGGTTTGTCGGTATCGTGCAGCACTGCTGTGCCTCAGGAACTAGAAACTGAAACCAAAACACTCAAAATATGACTGATTGGGAACTTGGTCAGACGAAGGCCCAATGTTCCATGATGATGACAAATATTAAAAGTATTATGGCCACACGAAACGTCACGGTTTAATAAATTCAATTCAAAATAGTTAACTGTAAACTACATTAATTTCATCAAAAGAAAGAGAATACGTGTTTATTTATTTATTTACATTTAATTATTTTAATATCTTTTAATGACAATACAAAACAAAAAAGGCGGCCGCAGAGCAGGCAAATAATAATAAACAGCTCAAATATAAGAGACTTTCCTCCGACTTCCATTTTGTTCCCTTTGGAGTAGAGATTCTTGGGCCGTGGGGTTGAAGTGCAGAGGCGCTAATTACAGATTTAAGTTGGCGCCTGGTAGATTGTACTAGTGACCCTAAGTGCTGCCAGCGTTAAAAGGACACTGCTACTGGGAACAAACGTTTTAATTTACTTTTTATTAATATTTAATTATTATTATTATTACAATCTATTGATTGTTATGTTTAGGTTTCAATAAACAAATCGTAATTTTTATTTAATATACGACAAAATAAATATTAA